CCCCAGGGAGAAGAAGAAGAAATTTGCGTTCTAGATCCTCTTCGTGTCCGTCCGTTCAATCCTCTCCGTGTCCGTCCGTTCAATCCTCCATCCTACGTGCGTTCCCCCTCTAAATTAGTGGAATTGGTCCGTTACTTCTCTTAGTAACTGTCTCTTTTTGTTTTTATGCTTTTTTTCTTTAATCTTTAATTTCACGTAATATCAGAGGTTGATTACTACTCTGACCGTTTCCACAGTTCATGGAAAAATCCACAATCTGGGTGTGAACCTCTCTGGTTTCCATTCTGCACACCTTAGTTAATTCCACAGGTTGTGGAAAAAACGCAGCTCAGTTATGGAGCTCTCTGGTTTTGAGTCTACATCTCCTGAAGCAAATCCACAGGTTGGGTAAAAAACCATAGTTCAGTTGTGGCGCTCTCTGATTTCACCTCTACATCTTAAGCACTTATTCTTCCTGATTTGTGATTTTAACCCTCACAAAACACCTATTAACAAGAAAAAACACAAAATCCAACTGTATGATCCGAAACAACTATAATGCTTAACAAAATGATTCAATTAATATAATTATGCATGCAAATGGCCTAAACTAACTACTAATGCAACTACATTTTATTTACCTATCAATTATCTCAATCCATTATACCCTTTTACATCATAACTTCAAATAATAGATATTCATCTAATAACATGCTAAATATTAATTTTCATAATCAAAGTCCATATAATTTCAACATATAGTTCAATCCACTTGCTACACATGCTCTTTTGATTACACAAACTTCTCCTTGTCCTTGATCGCTTTCTCATAAAATGAATCTTCTGGCTTATTGACGTAATCTAGTAATTCAATAAAAATCCTAAGACCACGTCCCCGAATAGGACGAAATTGAAGAAGATTAAATCCAACCAGGGAAAAGGACAAGAATACACTTAATATTTGTCCTAAATAAATTAAAATTAGTACGAGTAAATCATTAGGGTCTAGAACTAGAATTATAGCACTCCAAAATACAACTGGCAATACTGAAAAGGAAACAAGCAAAAACTGTATTGCCCACCAAGTTGCCTTATGTGCCAATTCAGCGTCAAAAGTTTGAGCCAACAAAATAAGTGCAGATGAAGTTGCCGAACTAAACATAGCTATTGTGTTTAAGATGGTGAATAAAATGAAAAGTGGTGTATGAGCCAAAACAGCCTTCCCTCTATTTTTTGGATTTGAGTCATCAGAACTGTATAGACCTCCTGGAACAGCCAAAAAACCAGTAAATGTCAGAGTGACAATCAAAGTGGTCACAACTAAGAATGTGCTGGGTTTTTTAAAATGCAAATCCCTTTTTGGTGATTGTTGGCGTTGAAGGCGCAACATGTCATTTAACTTCAAGGATACGCCTGCGTGTATCAAAACCGAATTGGCTAGATGCTGCACGAATTAAAAAAAGTTAAGAGAAAAAAGAGTATAAAAATTAGCATACGAAGTTATGCATCATCAACAAGTAGAATTCGAGTTGTGATTTGGTATGTAATGAGAGAA